TTTGTGTGCTTGTCATAAAATCAGGCCGTCAAGTCGTCTATAAACTGTTTTAAGACTACTAAATTAAAACTCAGACCTCATAGTTTTAACGGTAGCTGTAAGGTGGTTCTGCATCACTACTTATAACTGAAGAATAAAACCAAAACAAAACATACAATTATGTTTTATGGTACACTTTTTATGACCGATATAAAACTTGAAGCAGTCTTAGACCTTCATTAAAGCTTCATTACAACTATCATCTTTATCAGAGGCCTAAGATTCACAGATAAGAAATATACTGCTACAACAAAAAATACTCTGAAATTTTTTGTCATTATAAAAAACAAATCTATTCAGATATATGAAATGAAAACCCCTTCAGTGCTTCTGAACACGATGAAGATGAGACGATCGACAATATGAAACTCCTGGAGGAACTACAGTTATACGATCCCTACATAAAGCACAGTGCGGCGAAGGAGCTCTTAAAAATATTGAACAAGCGGCTTTCCGATACACTTCCGAAAGATCCACGAACCCTTCTTAATGCAACGCCGACAGTTTTACTAAATCCGTTTGGAGATGGCCAGTATTGACATCACGGCTTTAAACCTTGTATTGAAAAAGCTTTTAGTGGATCCAATAAGCATTTCTTACATCTTGATTACAAGCGAAAATATGAGGATCGCTTGGAATGTTGACTTTTTGACAGGTGGTCATGGTTTTTGTTTTGTTTTGATTCGCTGTACCGAATAAAACCAGCAAGCTAGTTATATAGCTTAAATATAACTTAACGCTCTCAATTTGGACTACAAAATGCTAAGATACAACCATTAGGTTTATGTTATGCTATAGAATTCCAATCTAGGAGAATATGTTATATTGAGGTATTTTTAAGGAGTAGCAAGTTATAACGAAAAAAAATGTCGCCGTATGAACAAATTTCACACAGTATGAATAATTACGCTTTAATTGATAGGCAATAAAACACTTTCATACATCTATGTATGATTAAATAATGTGTGACTGGTTATTGCTCAACAGTAGTAACAGTTTTGTACTAAATAGATAATCTTTGAATGACTCTTTAATGCATGGTGCTAATGCAGACAAATTAAAAATATCCCTATATTTTAGTATTCATATGGCGCACTAAATTTATTAGGGTATAATAATCACCATAAATATTGCACGGCATGCTGTGAAGCATATACAGATTGGTTTAAAATTATAATAAAGTCGTCTTATTTTCAATGTACAATAATATCAGCCATTATTACCAACTGACAAGGATCATGATTTCACATCAAACATCGAAAGAATAAAACCACAATAAAATATTTCTCAATATTAACTATCATCCAAAAACCCCAACTTAAAACCTTCAAAGTTGTCAAAATGTTTTGCGTATCATGTTTTATCAACTTCTTCAGGAGCGATTTATGCGGTTGTAATATAGTTTTATGGTAGTCATTAGAAGGCTGTTAAAACTTTCTGACCTGGAGGAGGTTTTATGTTTTCATTTTTAACAATCACGTCTAGAGTGTGATAAAACTGACATAAATCCTATGCTCATAAAGTAGTTCGCATATCAAGTTTTAATGACTGCATTAAAACTGGGCCAATTGGCCATGACATGGCTGTATTGCGGTTCTCAGGAGATTGTTAAAGCAATGTGGTCGTCAGTGAAGGTTTTATAATTTGGTTGTATCAACTGCTATAAAACTTAAATAAAACAAAAATTGTTGCTTGGGTTCAGACGATGCTAATTGACCGCTTCGCAAAGGTGTTCTCGAGCGCCTTCCACATGTCCTTGGCCGTCTTCTTCTCGCAGATGATCGCCAGACATTCATTCGCCAGGAAGCTGACAATATATGACTTGGCCTTCCGGTCTGCCTCTTCAAATTTCACCTTTTCAGCTGCTACTTCCGGTGCTTCTTCAGTTAAAGTGTTCAATACTCCCACGGAATCCAGGAACATCTTGACTCCAGTGCTGAAATCTGGAACCACCGTTGAACTGCGGAAAACCGCACACAGCTTCTCTCGTAGAGGTGCCCATAACCTTTAATAAGTGAAAGCAGAGCTCTTCCAATTAACGTGTGGTTTATTTGAAGGACAGTTTGATAGTGGAACAGAAAAATGAAAAGTCAAATAAGCAGGACTACTGAGATGGAATTAAACGATTGCTTCTGGCTTCCAGGTTCCTTCGATATCAGACATAGTCCTACGTCAAAAATAGTAGAAATTATCATTACTGATCATTACCGAACGTATCTCATAGCATTTTATTGCTCACTGCATGTTTATGATCATTTCTTCGATTATATTTTATATTTGACTAGCTGAGTGTGCCCGGCCTTGCTCGGGATTCAATATTAGCTTGAGTTTATGCGCCGATTTAAAAAAAAAAACATGCTATATTGTACGTAGCCCCCCCCCCCCTATTATCTAAGGGGCTACCCCCTATGGTTTTCTCCTTATACCCCCACACTCGCCCCCACATGCCTAATTTGGTTCCATTTGCTTGATTAGTTCTCGAGTTATGCAGAAATTTCTGTTTCATTTGTATGGAAGCCCCCCCTTGCAGAAGGGGGAGGGGTCTCGAACCATCATAAGAACCTTCCACGGCCCTAAAAACCCCTGTATACAAATTTTCACGCCAATCGGTTCAGTAGTTTCCGAGTCTATAAGGGTCAGACAGACAGACAGACAGACAGAAATTCATTTTTATATATATAGAAGAAGAAGATAGAAGATAGAAGAAGAAGATTGTAATACCTTTCGTGGACTGTAAATCTAGCCACCCTGCTCAGAACATCCCGGCTGCGCCGACTGGGATTGAACCCAGGCCTGCTGGGAGGGGGGAGGTAATCACGCTTACAACTACACCACCGGCGCCGCTTATTTATGAGTTTAAGATTGAAAGATAGGGGAAATGTTCTAATGTTGGCCTATGGATCTAAGATTGGGCCCATCACTAAAAATCTTCTATTTATCAATTTTATCTAGATGAACGCGTCATTGGTACGGTACTAATGTATATTTTTGGTCGCTAATGAAAATTTAGTCGATTGCTGAATTTATGTATGGGCCCAAATTAGGAGCATTTAGGCCGACATTAAATTCATTTCCCCTATATGTTTTCGAAAAATGCTGCCTTAATCGGTGCATAAAGACTACAATCCCCACTGTATCTACAAATACAAAACTCAATGCACCGTTTCTCTTTCGCTCGCGCTTGCAGGATGCAAAAGGCTCTCCAAAGTCACCATCGTAGAAGCTTCACCGTTCAACGTATGCACGTAAGAAGCTAAAATTTCTTCAGCTCCATAACTTCAACCACGATGGAGACAGTGACGCTGTGAGACCCGAAAACCTTCTGCAATTATCCTCTTCAGCACACAAAAAGCAAATAATTACACGCACACTCCCTTCCTCTCTGCTCCCGCATGCAAACTTTCACCAATTGAAGATGGGAGCTTTACTTCTCATCCTCGGTCTCGGCACCATCATCATTGCTCGTTCAAGTCGAACAGTGCAATAAGTACCCACCTACACCGACCGACCGACTTGGGGCGCTTTGGAGCTGTGTATGTGTGTGTGTGTGGGGGTTTTAGACAAAAGTAATAATATTGATAAATGAAGCGATATTATCTGCTTAATGGGATACAATTCAAAGTCGGGTGAAGAAACGAGTGATACTTTGGATCATACTCCACCCAAACCACCCACACAAGCAATTGGTGAATTGGTACGTGGGCGGGAATGGCAGAATAATTTCTTTAATGTGATACTCATCTCAAGTTTGTCCTACACGGGTAAAGTTTTGCATTTTCGGCAGGAAAGCGATCGTTAGCAATGAATTATCGGTGGCTGGGGTGCGATCCCTTCCAAGAGGCATTTTTATCGGTGTTATTGGGAAAGTTTAACGACGTCTTAGTGCTGGTTTAAATTAACCGACGATGATCGCTATCTGAATGTGGAATAGGGAACAAGTCGAACACGAATAATTTGTATTATAGAAATTGTAATGAGATTTATTCAATGAAATTGCAAAATGGCGACCTCAACTCATTGCGCACAGATTTCACTTTACCAGCGATAAGAGTTCATAAAAACAGTATGCAACTGATTGCGGGAGTGGATTTATCAAATTGTGTCTTTGGATATATATATTTTTTCCTTGCCAAGAATAATGCCGTGAGTTGCTTCGAAGCGAGGGACGAGGTCTTAAGCGGATTTTGTTCTTTGGCTTTGTCTCCGCGTACCGTTTTATGATTGATGCAAATTGGTTTTTGCGGTTGATATTCAATCAGGAAATTGGCAGAAAGCATCGCAAACCGGCGATGGTCGCGAGATTGAAGAAAAGACGAAACACGGTTGAGCTATTTGTCATACCTAATGGATTGAAGGATTTGCTAGAGATTGGCCCAGACCCAGATTTAGGGAGAAATTGAAGAGAAACGAGAATTGTAGAACTCGGTCTTATTTATCGAAATTGATTGAAAACGTTTTGATGTAAAATGTTGAAGGGATTCCAGCTTTGTTTCCATAAAAAAAAAAACGATTGAAACACCAATCGTTGGAACTGTTTGAAAATAAACGAACGGAAATTAGCCAAAATCACACCATGGCACAACCTTCAACCTTCAGTGGCAGCAGCAGCCAACTTCTGTATATCGCCAATGAACAATTACACGTTTCCGTTTCCACGGAACTTTGGCGGCGATGATGGCGCGACGTTCGATTTTCCAATCCCCCACATCTCCCACACCCATGATCTGCCCCAAATATGGCAGTCACATGCGCGATACATAGTGCGAATGTATGTAGCTGCAACCATTCACGTTTTGTTTTGCCATTCTCCATTTCCCACCATATCCATATCCTGGTTACCGTGCGATCGGACTGCTATGTGCACTTGCTTACAGTGCCCGTAATTTATGCTTCACACACTTTGTTATTTTTGTCGCTCAGGAAGCGCAGGACGAAATCGAAGCAACGAATGAAAAAAAAAAACCTTCGGTATTAAATGTCATATTGACGTATCAATATATTGGATTTTTTCCTCTTCCTCAGTTCGGTTCCACTCGCAGTCGAGTTTGGCGCTGGTCACAATTGGCCACCGTGTGTACTCATCGTCGTCGTGGTCGCTTTGTTCGATCGGAACTGCAATTCGGTCGTAATTCAATATTTTATTTTACTCGCGCTTTCCCCCTTGTGTGCATGTGGATATCCATTTTTATTGGATTGTAAATTTGTGAGTGAGAGTAAATTTCGTGACAGTTTTTTTCCGTTGCCCGGGGAGCGCGTGTGAGGAGGAACATCCGAAGCATAAATTAAAGCCTCACTTCCGGGGTGTCGGTGGCGGTTATTACCAACGAGCGAGCGCAGGGGGACCAATCAAGCGAACAATAGTAAGTTGAAGTTAAATGTGGAATGGTGATGGCAAGCCAATTTCACGGATGCTACATAAATTATCATTTTGGGGTTTCGACTGCACAGCTGGAAGAAAAATTAAGATAATTGTGTTTTTGGCACTCCATAAACAGGCGGGCGACAGAATGATGGATCATGCCATCATTTCCAAGTATACTGATATGCGGGTGAAAATTTCCGGTTGGGACGAACGGGTACAGCAGTTTCCCAAGGATTGCCCGTGCTGCTCGGTGGGGGTGAGTATGTCTGCAGTTATAATGGTTATGTAATATGTTGCCACTTAGGTATCGGGTAGAGATTTAGCGGTCGTAATAAGTTCTCAAACAAAACAAATTTCATACAGGATTCTTTCTTAAATTGTGCATACGGTCCACTCTCCCTAACTCGATATTTAACGTATCGACTTGGGTAAACATCGAGTGATTTGTAATTGACGAGCTACGAGAGACGAAAATCAAAAATTTTAGAATCTTCAACATAGCCCAATAATTTAAACTACGATTTTAATAAGTAAATGAAATTTTTAATTAATGTTCAACTCGCAAAATGTTCAAGCTGTTTTTTTTTCAAATTCCTTGACTTTGAAATTTACTTATGACAGTCCTGGTATGAGTTATGAGTCCTAATCTGATTGAATAGTTTTTCATTGACGAGCGCTTCGAAAAGCTTTGGGATACAGGAAATAACAGCAATTCCTCGGTAATTTTGTATGTCCGATTTTTTACCACTTTTGAAAATAGGCACTAGAAAAGAGCTTTTCCATGTTTTTGGGAAGATTCTAGAATCTAGTGACATATTGAAAAGCCAGAATAATGGAGCTCTTAGTTCCATTTTTTTTTTGCAATTTAAATGATCTTTATTTCTTGTGATTGTGTGGTTTACATGTATGATTTTTTTAAGTGACACAGATGCGTCTTTTCAACTTTAGTACATTTGAGATTTTAATTATTATTTACAGTTCCTAGTCCTATCAAGCCTATTTTAAAGTATGACCACCTTGGTGGGATTGGTTTGATTTGAATTGAAAAAAGGAGACTACTTATAACTACTATTTACAACTACAACTAACCTACAACTACTATGTACACCTAACCTACTATATACAAATTGCTTATCAAAGCATGTTCTGATAAATTACATTTTTGTGCAAATTTAGTCTTAGTTTCGTTAATTTTGGAATCTATTTTGGCAATGCCTGCCTCTTCATGTAAATTTGTTATTCTAGTGTCGAAAGGACGATCAAGAACCATCCTCAGCACTCTATTCTGAGGTACCTGAATTTTGTTCCTGTGAGTCTGTGCACATGATTCCCACACCGGAGCTGCGTAGAGGATTGCAGGTGCTATGATTTGTTTGTAGACGGCCAGTTTGTTCACCCTTGAGAGGCGGGATCTGCGGAAAATCAGCGGATACAGACACCTAACCAAGGCGGAACACTTAACTACGGTTTTCTCCACATGCGAGCGGAATAGGAGCTTTTCGTCAAACAACATCCCGAGATAGGTTACTTCGGCGGACCACTCAACCCTTGTGCCATCCATGATTACAGTACAAGAGGGAGCCGGTTTTAGTTTGAGTGATTGCCGATGGAGGAACATGATTGTTTGTGTTTTGGAAGCATTGATTTTGATTTTGATTTTCCACGTGGTGGCATAATCAGCAAAGGCGTTAAGGCATCGTTGAAGTTTGTTCGTTATTTCGCGAGGCATCCTTCCTTTGACGGCTATTGCGGTATCATCTGCGAACAGGAAAAACACGCAACCGTCTCCAAGGGGAGGAATGTCGGAAGTGTAAATGCTGTAAAGCAAGGGGACCAGCAGACTGCCTTGCGGGACTCCTGCTGGGATGGAAAACGTGTCTGAAAGACAACCGTTCAACGATACCTTAAACGACCTTTGCTGGAGGTAGCTACGGGTGATTTTAACCAGATGTAATGGAAAGTTGAAGTTACAAAGCTTGTATACAAGCCCATTGTGCCAGACATTATCAAACGCTTTCTCAACGTCTTACAAGGCCATGGCTGTGGACTTGGATACAGCTTTGTTACTTCGGATGTTATTCATCACCCGCACTAGCTGGTGATTGGTGGAGTGCCCCTTTCTGAACCCAAACTGTTCCGGAAGGAGAATGTTATTTTTCTCGACAAACTTGAGCAAACAATTGAGAATGAGTTTCTCGAACAATTTGCTCAGCGCTGAAAGGAGGCTGATTGGTCTGTAGCTTGAAGCTAGCGTTGGGTCCTTCCCGGGTTTGCGGATAGGTATGATTTTCGCTGTCTTCCAGATGCTTGGAAAGTAGTGCAGTTCCAAGCATCTGTTGAAGACAGCAGCCAGCAGAGAGTGAACCTTCATGCTGAGATTTTTCAACAATAGGTTGAATATTCCGTCAAACCCGGGGGCCTTCATGTTTTTGGTGCATTTAAGCGCTGAGCAAATCTGTTCCACTGTGATTCTATCCTCCGGAGAGATGACACAAGGGGAGGAATCAAGGTTGAGTACGCATTGCTCAACCTGAATTTCAAGCGGACTTTGGATGTTGGAGCCAAGCAAGTTTTTTTTTTTTTATTACTTTATTATAGAGATTTGTAGCCATAGGCTAGTTCATCTCTTATGAGCCAAGCAAGTGCGATTTGGCAATATGCTCACCAATCGCATTTGCTTTATCCTGAGGGGTGATTATGAGCCGATAGTCATCATTTACATCTTTTAGTGGCGGAATAGGTTTAGGGTGCGTCTTTAAGACCTTGGCAACTTTCCAGAATGGTCTGGAGCGGTCGTCCAGATTCTGGACAAGCCGCCCGAAACTTTCGTTCCGGAGTGAGACCATTCTGGAAGCAATCTCCTTGTTCAGATCGGCCATTTCACGTTTCCTCGCTTGATCTCCAGTCCTCTGAAACTGGCGTCTACGAACATTTCTCAGGCGAATTAAGAGTTGGGTGTGGGAATCAATAGCAAAAAAATTACCCCTCACAGGAACTCGTCGGACGCACGCCTCGTCAGCCAAGGTTATGGCTTGGTGGAGTCCCTCCAACGCACGGTCGATGTTCTCCACGGTATCAAGCGGCGGGTTGTCGATGATGTGCCTGTCTACCACGCGTCCAAACTGGGCCCAGTTTACGCGATGATAGTCCTTGCGCAGGCTTGAAGCAGGAGCCACGTTGCAGCCCAGTTCAGACACCACCGCTTGGTGGTCGGAGCTGAGTTCGTTCAAGGCTACCGGCTTGGACAAGCCGATATTTGTCAGGAACAGGTCTAGCGTCGATGGGTTGCCCGCCGGTGAGATAAATGTTGGCTCATCCGAAAACCAAACGGAGTACAGCCCATACTGTGAGTGGTCGAACAGCAGACGACCGTTCTGGTTCTGCCTGTAGTTAAGCCAGGCCTCATGGCGAGCGTTTAGATCTCCTCCTACTACGAAGCGGGAACCGTTACGGGTGATAGTGGAAAGGTCCTTCTTGAATTTAGCCGCTAGTCCACTGCTGGCGGCACACTGTCGAGGGCAGTAGACGGCGATGAACTGGACGTATCCAGTCGACGACTCCACCTCCACACCAAGGGCCTCGATGATAGTGGTGCGGATATGGGACAGAGTGTGGTATTTTATTCCTTTCTTGACGACGACCGCAACACCACCCCCCTGGAGCTGGTGCGATCAAGCCGGATAATGTTGTGGTCAAGCAACCAGAAGCTGTCGCCGGACTTTAGATGGGTCTCGGTTAGAAGGCCCACGTCGATGCTGTGCTTGCGGAGGAAGTCGACAAGCTCAATCTGTTTTGCTTTTACAGAGCAAGCGTTCCAGGTAGCGATAGTTAGCGGTTTAGACGCCATACTGGATGATGAACTTACCGAGCACTTGGATCTGTTCGGGCTTATTGCGGCACTTACGAAGAGCACCGGACATGTTGACGAAGATTTCCATCAGTTCATCCGCTGAGGACAGATCGGGGTTGTTGTTTTGCGCTGTTGGTTGTCTCCAGAATCCAGCGGGGATGGAGAGCTTTGGCCAGCAGAATCACCGGAAGTTGTTTGAGCGGAATCCACCCGCAAATTCACTTGCCTTTGCTGAGGAGCACGAAGGGGCGGGAAATCCACCGTCTGAAATGCCGGGACTTTGTCCTTCTTGCGTCCTGGTTGGTTGTTAGTTGCCACCTGTTTTCGGATGCGTTTGAAGTCCTCGCGTTTGGAGCACTGTCTGTCGGAACCTTGATGTGCACCACCACAGTTGGCGCATTTTAACGCCACGGCTCCATCCGCAGGGCAGTTGAAAGTGGCGTGTTCTTGAGCGCAGTTGCTTACAACGAAACTTTTGCATCGGTGGGAAAATACGCAAAGATTCTTCCTGTGATAACATGTCTATGGGATGAGTCGACTGCAGGACGTCACGCTACCGATATAACTAGCTGTTTCCACCAAGTAATCGAGCGATTCAACAACTATGAGGAAATAATTTTCTGGCTGGACAACTGCAGCGCCCAAAACAAAAATTAGAATATGTTCCAACACATGATACTTCTGCTGAATTATAATGCTGTTAGTGTTAGAAAAGTTTCCTTCAAGTTTTTCGAAACTGGACATACGTTCATGGCTGCAGATAGCGTACATGCTGCCATCGAAAAAAGCATGCGCAATAGTAAACCAGCTTAAACATTTCCAGATTTTTCAGCATTGGTCGAAAAGGCAAAGAAAAACGTGGAGGTAATGAACATGAAGTTCAGCGACTTTTTCTGCACGACCATAAACACCAGCCAGTACGTAATTAAACAGTGCAAACCTCGACCGTATATTGAAAATATAAAATACATTATTTTCAAGAAAGGAAGCTTCGAGCTTTCTTACAGCAATGCTGTCGACGGAAGCAAACCGATGAATCGATGTACCCTATTTTCGAAAAAGCAAATGAAGCAGATTCAGTGTGACGGATTTCTTTTGGAAAACACCTTGAAACGGCAGGCTTCGCCCAAAGGAATAGCTGCAGACAGAAAAGCTGCTTTGCTTAAAGTTATTGCACCACTCATCAACGCCGACAGCAAATCGTACTGGACTGATTTGCCAGAGCAGCATTCTTCTTAACCGGATATATGACAACTAGTCGTAAATGCATAGAAACGCTTCGAAAACTTTCAGCGGAGATGCTTTTCTATATCAATTGTTATCAAACATTATCTTTACTTAATAAACAAAGCTAAAAACAAAGTTATGACGTTGTTCTCTTGATTATTTCGTGAAATTTGTTTTTT